TCTCTCTCTCTCTCTCTCTCTCTCTCTCTCTCTCCGTACCCCCCAAAAACCTTAGGTGGCTTCATCTCTGTCTCTCTCTCTCTCTCTCTCTCTCCGTACCCCCCCAAAAAAACAAAAAAATCTTGTTCACTGTCAATGGTTTTGAATATTTGATGAATAGCACTGGCCAGTCCAATTTAGTCATAGGATTATTTCCCAATGAGTATTGATCATTATTATGAATAATCGTGCAACTTGGTTGTTTTTATAATTTGTTGGATAAAAATTATTTTGGGCAGGTCATGCGGAAGGTGTTTGCACTATTATTGGCTGAATTCCGCAAGTTAGGTGCTTCCATCATCTATGCAGATTTCTCTAAGGTTATCATAGATACTGGAAAACTAGATTTATCATCAGCCCAAGGTTACTGTGATTGCCTATTGAAAGCATTGCAGTCCAGGTAAGTTGAAATCTATTAATGGAAAATGACTAACTTTTTTCCTTCACATCCAAGTTTTCTAATTAGGTGCTCCTGTTTCTGTAGAGATCTTTTTGAATGGATTGTGCTTGAACCTCTGCGCTTTTGGCACTCATTGCTCTTTATGGATCAGGTTTGCTAACTTTATGTGAATTGCTTACTTCATTTTATCATGATGGCATGCATGCACCATTTGGTCTTAGTAATAAATGTGAATTGTTATCAAGATACTATCACTAAGAGCTGGTTTTATCAGTTTATCTTAAATTATCAGAAATCAAGTTTTTCTTCTTTTTAAATAATTTTTTGATAAGTTAATTAGAGATTCTAATGTTAAATATTTTTGTTATATTTTATGAAAATTTTTCTGTTTCACGAAGAGCATATAAAAAGTATTTTAATGTAACTAGCTGTACCATATGGTTTCATGTGTTCCCCTTTTCCATTTATTCCTAATTTTCAGTAAATTTATAAAACCTTCCTGCAAATAATATGTGGTTTCATGCAACCGCATATTAAATTATCAGTCATCAGTAGACCTTCAAAATACTTTGTATTTTAAATTTATTGGTTTATACCTGAAGTTTTTAATGGATATTTGAAAAGATTTCGTGATAAAATACCTGTAAAAATGACTTATCAGCTGTCATTGTTATTAAGTATTAGGTATGGTAAAGCACAAAGATATCTTATTATTCTATTTATTTTTTCCATAAATCATAATGTTTATAAATATCATATTGTATGTAACAAATATGTAGTTTAAAGTATTCACTCTTTGTCTTGGATAAATATTGTCATGTATTTATATTACATAATTATGCTGTTGTTGCAAGTTTCAAAGGGTTTCCATCTTTAGTGACAATACGGTACGTTGAGACTAGATAATTATCCACATATTGTAGGGATCAGGCGTTCTATTTGTTCGGTGTAAAAATTCACATGAGAAGTCATGCTGATTTCTTGTAACCATTTTTGCACTGATATTTATGTTCTATTTTCTTCATACTTTACAGTACAACTATGGTGGGATTCAGGCAAAAGTTCCCAACGGAATTCCCGAGGATGTGTCTAGTACACCTAACCTAAATGCGGATTATGGGAGTCAACTAGATATCATTTCAAGTTGGAATATAGCTGAATACTTACCTAAGGCAACTCAGGTTTGTCAATTGAACTTTGTAATGTTTTTTTTTTTACTTAATATGGAGCTTTTGAAAAAATTGTTAAACCTTAATCAATTGCTTCATATTTCCCGTTTCCTTTGTATTGTCACTGATCTGAACAATGCTGGAGCATTCTAGCCAATTTGTTTGCATAGAACTGATGTGCAAAATTGTAGAACCTCCCAAATCACAAAAAACATCAATACTTGACAATGTCGCATCGCATTAGAAGGAAACAAAAACCTTGGAGTCGAAATGGTATTAGGCTGCCCTCCCAATGTGAAACTTCTTTCCATAAGCAAGAACTGAAATATTTAGTTTTCAATTCATTGTGGTGAAAGCAATCTGAATGTCAGTTCTGATATTTTTTTTACTAGGAAATATAAAAACTTATGGAGTTTCTCCAATCAACTGGAAAATATTTCTATTGATTCATGCATGCAGAACTTTGATTGTTGCATTGGGTGTGTTATGATTCAGTGAATGATGGATCCAAGTTGTGTTGGGTCATTGGGTTTTTGGGACTCAGGCCATCTGTTAACTTTTTAATAAGCTTAAATTTTTGACACTTCATCGATATAATTCTAGATGCCCATTGCCTCTTACTGGGGAATTATGGAGCTTATCCACCCCGTGACTCAGTTTTTCTAACAAAAAACTGCCTATATGCACAGGATTACTTCATCCTGATTGTCTCTGAGTTCATCTATGAGCCATGGAAGGAGCAAGCTGCAATTAGAGCAGCCTCGAGGAATGGTAGTTTCTGTACTCCATCAGTTACACTTTCAGCCACTGAAACTTACGAAACCCAGGTCACTGAATTTCTCAAAAAAAAGGTATTGATAAACCATTTGTGATTCAAGCCTGTTAGTGAATGTTCAATCTTCTTTTTTTTGGCTTTTTTTTCTTCTAATTACAAGTGAATCCTCACCATACAAGAAACCCTCGCTCTTTTCTTTCAGATTAGCTCTTATTTCTTAAGAAAGGTTCTTGGATTCATTCATGATATTAATCGCCACATCAAGGGAAAGAAAGATATCATAGACGAATCCATATCTCATGGATTTCCACCGCTTGCTGGTTCTCACATTCATATAGGGGATCCTGCATTAGAATTTATCAAGCATGTCTGCAAGGTTCTTGCCCTTGATCAGCACGTCCAGCATGACGTTCTGGTAAGTACATCGTATTTGGCACTTGGCAATAGTTTCTTTGCTTCTGTTTGTTTTAGCAGCTGCATAGTTGTTTTCTTTTTTCTTTATGGAATTTCCATAGATAGGTGTGCTTCTATTTTGTTCAACAGCCACAAAATATGAGAAAAGGAGTTTTAAATTTGGACAGTCTCAAACTCCTCTTTCTCAAATCTTGGAGTAGACAGCTACTAGGTAACCTCCACGCTCCAAAAGAACCCCTTCTTGTGACTATCAACCATTGGGATCTGATAGAGGAGCCCTCAACCCAAATGAAATCCATCAAGAAGGAAGAAATTTATTGGGCCAGTGATCGAGGGGTAAGTGGCTCAAATGCGGAGACCTTAACACGGCCTTTCTTCCACAAAACTCCCTATTGTAGGAGAAGAGACAATACCATCTCCCAGTTAGCAGTTGATGGTGCTGTCCTTGACCGACCCCCACCCTCCCCTGGTGGAGAAAGCCATTGTTGACTTCTTCACATAGCTTTTCAATCCCCAACCAAACCTACCCCTAAGGTGGATTGTCTTTCCAGTCCATCCTGCTAGACAAAGATCTCTGGCTGAAACGTCCGTTCTCCGAAAACGAAATCCTCAAAGCCATCTCTGAGCTCGGACAAGACCGGGCCCCAGGACCTGGCGGCTTCCCCATAGCCCTTCTCAAAACCTTTTGGGAACACCTTGGACCCGACGTACTCTCATTCTTTGAGATGTTCCATGAGAGGGGTTATCAACAAAGGAATGAATGCCACTTTCATCGCCCTTGTTCCCAAAGTGGAAGGGGCTGAAAAACTCAAAGACTTCAGACCAATAAGCTTGATAAACAGTTCCTACAAAATTCTGGCCAAGGTCTTGGCCTCCAGACTCAAGGAGGTACTAGGGTGGGTGACATTCCCCATGAAGGGGCTTTTGTGAAAGACTGCCAAATATTAGATGGAGCCCTTGTTGCACAAGAGTGTACACATTCTAGAACCAAATCCAAAACCCTGGGCCTCCTATAAAATTGGATGGGGAAGGGGCCCATGACCATGTCAACTGCGAAAGTGGATTCGGGCTTGCATCTCCCATCCCTTCTTTTCCATCCTCATCAATGGAACCCTAATGGGCCTCTTCCTTTCCTCTAGGGGTCTCTGCCAAGGGAACCCCCTGTCTCCCTTCCACTTTGCCATTGTGGCTGAGGTTTTCAGCATGTGGCCAAAATGTACCACCATAGCCTCTTGGAGGGTTTCAAAATTAGCAACGGAGGCTCTGTGATCTCACACCTACAATATGCTAACAACACTCTACTTTTTTGTGGGGCCTCCAAGCAGCAGGTCGTCTCACTCCTCTTCCTCAAGTGCTTTGTGCTAGCCACTGGCTTTAGGGTGAATTTGGCCAAGTAAAACATGATAGGTATTGCCCTTGAGCCACACAAGCAACCCAGAATCTAGCTGACAGATGGGGCTGTGCAGTGCAGTGGACAACCTGCTGTCTTCTCATTTGGGCCTCCCTCTTCACCATGGCAAGCCTAAACATAGGCAATGGGGGCGAATTATCGACAAATTTGACCGCAAATTGGTCACTTGGAAAGGGAGATTCTTTTCCCAAGCAGGTAGAGTAACCCTCATTAAGGCTACTCTTTCCAATGTTCCCATCTTCCAAATATCCCTCTTCCTAATGCCTGCCTCTATAGCCTCTCGCTTCGAGCGACTCATGCGGAACTTTATGTGGTCTAGAGATGGGTAATCCAGGAAGTACCATCTTATCTTATGGACCATAGTTTTCAAACCTATGTCCCAAGGTGGCCTGGGATCCGACTCTTAAACAGAACAACCTGGCCTTGTTGGGAAAATGGTGGTGGTGTTTGACCACTTGTGGCAAATTGTGATACGGTACAACTATTAACTATACTAATCCCTTTGGTTGCCCCATGGCACTGCCTACTATTCACCCTCTTGGAGATGAATACTGCACTGCTGATACCCCACATTTGATTGCATGCAAGGGCGGCCAACATAATTAACTTTTGGTCCAACCTTTGGATAGGCCATAGCCCCCTAAGAGATCACTTTCCTAATCTGTTCGGCCTCGCCAAAGACAACAACGCCTCAGTTGCGGACCTACTCCAAATGGCAGGCACCACTCGCTCCTGGAATCTAAATTTTAGAAGACACCTCCGCGAAGGAGAGGTCGCAGCATTCCTTGAACTCTCAGCCCTTCTACACTGTCTACCTCCCTCCCCATGGCGACAAAATCATATGGTCCTTTACTGGATGGCACATTCGCCGACTTCTTATTTTACCGCAAACTCCACCTCCCCTCGCTTCAACCTTCTCCCCTTCCATTGTCACGATAGCTTGGCTCTTCTTCATCCCACCTAAAATCCAGGTATTCAACTGGATCGCCCTCTTTCTGTGAGTGGGTCTCGACGGCCGACCAATTGCAAAAAAGGGAAATGACCATTTCTAACCGCTCTGTGATGTCTACTGCTGATGGGAAAACAAATTCTCACCTCTTCATCTACTGCAGCTTAGGCAGCAAACCGTGGAAAGACCTACTACTACTATTTAATTGGTCTTGGGTTACTCCTAGGTCAGTACCCTACTTGTTCGAATATACAAAGTTCCTCCCATGGGCCAAATCAGGCATTCTGCTCTGGAAGTCCTCAGTAGTGGCTATTTTGTGGGCCATTTGGATAGAGCGCAACAACCTTGTTTTCCGAGGCTGCGTTACCCCTCTCCACACCTTGAGGGACAACATCAAGTCTATGGTAATTTTTTGGGCCTCGAACCATAGTAGCTTCAAACACTATCAGCCTCAGACTTCCACCTTAACTGGTAGTCACTCCTCTCTCTTAGGCGAATTGCATCCCTCGCGTGCCCCTTTGACGACCTCAGGAACTGGGCTAAACCAAACTTAATTTCCGGTTGCTTGCTTGGCAAACTAGGACCGGCCAGCATTGGGGGCATCTTCATAAAGCACGACGGCCTCTCCCTATTCTCTTTCGCGAAGCCTATCGGTTGAGCTGACTCCACTATTGTGGAAGCTCTCGCCCCCTTGGAAGGTCTCAAAAATTTCAATCCTCATGGGGCGAACTAGTCATGGAAGGAGACTCTAGAAATGTGATCCTGTGGGCCTCAGGGGAGGAGACACCCCCTTGGAGACTCGCTCATGTTTTTTACGAGATCTTTGACATATGCAGGCATATTCACGTTTCATGGACGCATACTTGGCAAGAGGCAAACCATGTGGCTGATGCTCTTGCTAGGGAAGGTGCTTAAATTTCTACTGCTTCTGGATTCTTGGTCAATCACTATATAATTTTTTGACCCCTACCACCCCCCCGGTGGTTTTTGTATAGAGCTCCCGACTTGTGGGCAGCCTATTTTTGGATACCTTGTACAACCTTACTTTATGCAATTCAATAGTGACCACTTTAAAAAATGACAAATGCAATCCATGTGCCAACCTGGTACTTAAAATTTAACATTTCCCACATGGGAAAAAAGTAGGAGCCTAGCAAGTAGAAAGTAGAGGTTTCTTGTTTTATGCAAGAAAATTTGATAACCCAGCTGACCCTCGGAGCTATGGGTTTCTACTTCTAAGAAAATTTATCTCTGTTTCTTGCAGCCTTGAGCAATTCACATATTACCAAGATTTCCCAAAAGCTTCAATGATTTGTGATAAATAACATGAGATATGGCTGGATATAGATGAGTTTAAGAGAAAAAACTGATGAAATAATGGTGTGCTTGCATTTTTTCCCTCTGTTCTGCAGGTGATGAAGAAAAATCTGTTAAAATTGATAAGAGTGAAAGAGTTTGCTCCAGAAGCGCAATATCGTGATCCATGCTTGTCGTTCACACTGCCCAATGTGATTTGCAGGTATGTTGGATATGTACATGGTATTAAACAGATGCGTGTGTATGAGAGATTCTCATATATTCATTTTGCAGCTACTGTAACGACTGTCGGGACCTTGATATATGCCGTGATGCGATGCTTCTTGATAGAGACTGGCGCTGTGCAGTGCCCCAGTGTGGGCAACCCTACAACCGTGAAGAGATAGAGAATACCCTCATTCAAATAGTGAGGCAAAGGGAACATCTCTATCATTTACAAGACCTCGTATGCGTAAGGTGCCGTGGAGTCAAGGGTGCCCATTTAGCTGAACAATGTGAGTGTGGAGGATTTTTCCGATGCTTTGAAGATGCTACAGAGTTCAAGGCTAAAATGCAGGTGTTCCTTAACATAGCAATGTATCATCAGTTCCCTATCCTTGGGGAGTTTGTATCTTGGATTATGGAAATCGGATGAGTCCCCAATACCTTCCACTTTTTTCAATTCTTTTAGATTGAATTTGTGCATGTGTTATATATGAAATTTGTATTTGTAAATTAATAGAAGTGTAAAAGCTTGTGCCTTTCATCCAGTGTCCTTGAATTTTAAGAATAGACCCCACCTGGTTTAAATGGAGGGAGCTAATAACTGATTCTTAATATTCTTTCTCTCTCTCTCAAACACACATTTAGCAATTTTTCTAAATTCTCCTGAAATACCAAATCCAATAAAAGAACCAACTAAAAAATGCCTGTGAATGCAATTGGGACCAAATCCACATCATTTCTCAACAAGGGTTCAAAGATTAATAAGAGAAACCAGAAATGTAGTAGTGATATTACAACGTTGGCAGCATATCTAGAAACTAATTGTTGTATTGACCACATGAGTGTGCCACAGAACCTAGAGGTGAAGAGCAAGAAACCGTAGAGCGAGAAGGAGATGGTGTTTGGGATCCTTTCGGGGAGAGAGAAACATATTCTAAAGCCTGGATTCTCAACTCCAAAGGATAGTCCGCAACACACCCTATTCTAGGACCAAGCCCTGTGGTCCATTTCAATGAAAGCTGGTTTCCAAGCTGATAAGATCTTGCTGCTTTCTTTGAATTGATCCTTTGAAGTATTGCCTTCTGTGGAACATCTGGCTTAGGGCTTTGGAGGCCTCCTGATAGGGTTCTTTTATAGGAGTTTTCTCTCGCTTCCCCGATTCTTGGTGTTTCGGGTTGAATGACTAGTGTTAGATCAGGTGGTGGTTGGGCTTGGGCTTTAGATATTTGGGTTTCACTCTCATGGCCCTCGAGTTGAGCTATGGGTTTGAACCCTTCGGTTCCTCTCTCATCAGAAACCACGGATTGGGTCTCTTCGGGAGCTGATGCAACCTCGAGATCGAGGTTTAGGAGGCATCCTGAAATATAGTGACTTTCTCTCTCTTTGTCAACTTTTGATGTTTCGGATTGAAGAACGACAGTCTGATCTGGTGGTGCTTCGGTTTCTGTCTCATCAAGACGTGTCTTATCACGTTTGATCTTCTTCTTTGTAGCCCTGCCGCTCTCTTCCTGGCTTTCTTCGTCTGTGGATGAGCAATCCTGAAAATTATGAATAATTGTCATTCAAATTGGACAAAATGAGAGAGAGAGAGAGAGAGAGAGAAACATACGTGTATCTCAATTTCATCTGGGTTGACTCCATTTTCTCTGAGAAATGTTATAAAGACATTGAGGTTCTTATCAGATGGAAGGTAGTGCCCGCTACAATCACAGATGTACTGCAACCAATGCAATATTTATGTGTGAGAGAGAGAGATAATAAGCATATGCCTAATAAAAGATCAAAATATGACAAGAAATGTACAGTTGCAGTTCTCAGTCTTAGTTTCAGCATCAATACTCAACCTTAAGGACGCCATTCTCAGTCTTAATTCTTCCAGCTGCTAGCGTAGTGCCTCCTGCTAAGAAGCTCGAGTGATGAAATTTCCCCTTCTCTTTCTGGATGCAAAGACTAACATTGTTTGAGAGAGAGAGAGAGAGAGAGAGAGAGAGAGAGAGAGAGAGAGAGAGAGATATAGTACGTTAGTACGTAGGTAGGGTAAGTAAGAAAAGTAAAAATAAACTAAACAAACGAAAGAAAGTAAATTAAAATTTAAAAACGTAAAGAAGAAGAATAACTAAGTAAG